CATGTGTAAAGTAGATGAGAACACAAGACTGATAAAGCAAGCTATCTCTCTTCTCTGTAGTACACCGTAATATGCCCATGGAGGATGCATTGGCTCTGGTAGCTAAAGCATTTGGGAAAATTTTTGCTGAGCGCGAGCAGCAGGAGCGTACCGAGATTTCACACAAAGCAGCTGATCTGGCGGATGACTACCTAGAACGGGAGCTCTATGAGAGTTACAGTGTGCCTCTGGGCATTAGACATCTTCTCTTTCTGTTAAGTGAGGGAAAATATTTATATCGGGAGGAGTTGAACTCAATAAGTGACTACCTGAAGACCAGAAAAGATGAGCTTGAAGGTATTCATACTTTTTCCCGAAAATACAACTTTAAGCTTCTTTTTAAATCAGCCTGGTACCAGACCAGTTTTTAAGTACATTCCACATAAATAGCCTGCAAATAAATGATAGAGGGTAAAGCACCGAAGTTTGTAAAACATCAATGTATACATTAATGGACATGTATTTGTATTCTAAAATCAGATGTACACACCCTATAAGAAATGGACATATATAAAATGCTTGTATTCAAACCCAGTAATGGGCGATCACATTCCCAGAAGATTCACTGTTACAAGTAAGTCTTTGCTGATCTTCTGCTAACACTTTTGTGCATTAAAGTTTCAATAACATTATACACACAAAAACATTTTAAATTAGTCATATTTGAAGAACTAGTAAGCAGATTTTAACATATGATTTAATAAAACCTGTAATTCAGCTGTTACATATTTTACAAGTTATTCACAAAGGTTCAAATTCAGTAGAACAACTTCAAAAGATAAACCAAAAACTTCCATAAATTACAGAAAATAAGAACTTTGGGCAGAGTTTCTGGTGTCCTCCTGAGCATAGGAGCAACCTTATAGAAACTTCTTGGATCTCCTATTGAGAGGGAAAAATTCTTGTAAAGGTATTGCTCACATATTGTCTTTAACAATGTATTCTTAAGAGTTGCTAATTTTTTTATTTTCTTAAACTAGGCCTTGTTGAACAAACTAATCCTTCCACTGAAGTTGATGACACGATGTATCAAGCAAATGTGAGGCCAAGTACAAGCACTGCCACCCATACCTTAAGTAAACCACCTCCTCTTCTTCCAACACCAAGCAGGAATGCTCTGTTAGGCCTCTCGCCCCTTCCTCAGGTTAAACCCGCATTGTTGGGTGATAGGCCACCTGGGGGTCTTCTTCCAACACCAGGTCAGCAGCGAGTTAACTTGTCCATGTCAAATGTTGTATTTCAAACTAATTCAGTACCTTTACTTGACAGATTTGATTGTTTGCTATCATGCTATAATTATGTTGCTCAATAAAACCATGAACAATGTTAAGGGAAATGAGGGGAGGTGGAACCCAGAAAAAATGAGAGCTTGCAGATGTTTACAGTGGTGATTAAATAATAGTTAACTACGTTACTCTTTGGTTTGAACTTTCTATGAAAGGTCAGAAGGGTAGAGGAGTGCACGGGTCTTTTTCTACCTAAACATTAATCCTGTGTAATATTCAAAGCCTTTCGGTTCCAGTGCTTTTAAACTTTGTGTTATTACTCTGATATCAGATCCTCTTGCTGTTCTTGGTTGCTTTGGAAGCTCCTGTGGAATAAGAAAAACCCCTAAAGATTTTGGAAGACTTTTTGTTCATTGAGAACTTTTTTTATTTACATTAAGCTTTTGTTTTTGTTTTTGCCAAAATTGAGGCATCAGCAAAAAGATACCTTTTAATTTACTGAAGCATATAGAAAACCAAGGAGACTGCTGGTGCAGTAAGAGCAGTCCTGAGTCAAAGTTTTAAGTATCAGTGCTCCTAGATGCTTAGGATTCTTATGTACTACTGATCCATAATGTCATGTTAATTTAAAATTAATTATTAATTGCTTTTATGATTAAAATGAATGTGTTAATCAACAAAACTCATGTGAAATGAGTATAATTTAACAATTTTAAAATCTTATTAGACAGCAGTATATAGGACTTTCTTATATTCACTATTGGCATAAACATTAAATCTTAGTTGCAGGATATGTGTAGTATTTGCCCTGAATCACAGCTGATACTCTACAGTACTGTTGAAATAAGTTACTGGTTAGGACCTGCCCGAGTCTTTTGCCTAAAATGTTTGATGTGAAATATTAGCCCTATTAGCTCACCTTAATTTAGCCTTGTGTTATTTGCTTCTCTGTATACTAATTTAACTTAAGTAATAATGTCATATTACCAAGTTAATTTGTTAATCTGTCCTCTAATTTAACCATGTTTACAGGTCAATGCTAATATAATGGAAAACTGTTTTTTTTATAGTATACAGATACTAAACTCTCTGAAATGCATGCTGGTTTAGAGGTGTTGTATAATCACAAAGTTTTTACTTGTATTTCCATGGGATTACATCTTTCAGTAATAGCATTACATTTTAGTACTAGCTATACACTCATCTATTTGAATGATGACATTTCTGTCTACATCTCTAGTGTCTTACATAAATGTCAGCTAGTCAAACAACATTTGCAAGTTCAGTTTTTTGTGTATTGTATGATTTATATGAGCATCCTGTGCAAAACCAATTAATACTTTTGTGCTCAAAAAAACCAACCTATTTCCAAACAGGGATGTCAGGCACAAAGAGTAAACCTCCACCTCTTCTAGCAGGACCTCCAAAAAGACCTGGTCTCCTAGGATACTCACCCCATCAGCCTTCAAAACGGCCACTGCTTGGGGAGAAACCAGGCCTTCTGCCAACACCAGGTGAGAGTGGGAAAGCTTTGTGTCACTCTAGGCAAACCAACAAAAGCCTTGAAACATGGGATTACCAGACTCCTACCACACTACAAGAGTACCTGTATACTCTAACATGGGGACTGCAAAAACATGACCTCACTGATTATATACATGTGTTCTACCATACAGACCCTTCCATAAACTTACAAGATCATTCTTGAAGCAATTCAGTTCTTTGCCCGCACCTAATTCAGAAAGCCATTTCAAAGCTTCACTCCTCCTCTGATAGTTAGAAATCTCTTTCTATCTAGCATTATCTGTTGCCAGTTTATAGCTGCTTGATTTTTGTATTGAGGTTGTTTTTCAGCCTAAAAAGCTGTTTTCCTTCCCTATAACTCACCCCTTGAATGCATTTATAAAAAGCAGTTATATCCCCACTCAGTCTCTCTTTTGTTGATCTTAAACCAGCCAAACTCCATAATTTCTTATGAAAGATTAATCTCCATTCCGTTAAACAGCTTTGTGGCACTTTATTTTTACTCATTCTCTTTTAAATTAAACTCTTTTGAACACTTATGACCAGAACTGTACATCCATTCTAAATGAGATCTTACTAATGCTTTGTACAATGCGACCAGTACTTCCTTGCCTCTAGTGAATACACCTTGTCTGTTATACCCTAGCGTCGCATTAGTCTTTTAACACCTGTATCCCACTGGCAGTGTGCCACAGGAGGTAATTCTGCTTTACTTGTCACTGATAAGACCTTAGCTTGCTCATCTTATTCAGTAGTAGGCACCACACTTTAAGAAAGATGTAGGTAACTTGGATAGATTCAAGACCAGAGCAGCAAAAATAAGTTGTTTAGAAAATGACCTATGAGAGAAGATTGAAGGACTGGTTGAAGGTTGGTTTGGAGTAGAAGAGAAAGCCAAGGGGGTACAAAAATCTTCCAGTATGTAAAAGGTTATCATATGGAGGATGGTGATCAGTTTTTCTTATTGTTCACTGAAGGGGTAGAATGAGAAGTAATCGTCCTAATCTTCAGCAAAGACCATTTCAGTTGGATATTAAAATAAAATTAAAAAGTTGTAATTGCAAAACTACTGAAGCACTGGAACAGGTTGCTTAGAGAATCTGTGGAATCTCCTTCACCTGAAGGCTTTAAAGCAGGGGCAGGCAAAGTGCGGCCCGCACTTGTCCCTCCATTCTATCTGGTCCGCAAGACCACTAAAACATTTTGAAAATTAATTTATCTGCCCCTGGCTGCCTATCATGCAGCCCTCAATGGCTTGCCAAAACTCAGTAAGTGGCCCTCCACCCAAAATAATTGCCTGTTCCTGCTTTAAAGGTAGGGCTACATAAATTAAATATCTGTCAGGGATGATCCAGGTATGCTTGATTCTTTCTCAGAGCAGATGGATTTATTAGGTGGCGTGTTCTTGTCCCCTTTAGGTCTGAATTGCTTTGATTCTATTGGTAGAAAATAACACCATCTACTAAAGTAACATGACATCTTGGTATCACAGCTAGGCTTGAAACCTGATTTTAAGATGCAGGATATTGGTTGTTCACAAGACAAGTGCAGTTGGGACTGTTTTGCAGGACTATTTTGTTAGCCTCTCATATAAAAACAAAAAAACAGCTAGTCTGGGGTGCTTATTCTGTGACCAGTTACAGTATAAAACCTGTAGCGGTCTGTGGTGCTTTGGTCTTTGCTGAAATAAACATTGTTTCAGAAGACCCTCAACCGGAAATCCCAATTAACCTTGTAGTTGGGGAAGGAGAGGAGGAGTCCACAAGGTTAGACCTAGCTGGGCGGGAGCAGATGAACAGATATTAGAGCACAACAGTCTTACACTGTTCAATTTATTTTGTCACAGCTGTTCATGTTAAACCAGTGCAGCACCAGCGGGTAGTTAAACCAAAGCCTTTGCTTAACTGAGAAGACGTCACAGATGCCATGTTTAATAATGGAATACACCAAACCGGATGGTGACAATCCTGTTCCAAGACAGCAGAGAGTATGATAAACTTGTAATGCTAGTGTCTGCACACTCAGACCAACTTAAATGCATCTCATTTTCTGTTGCACACATTCCCATGAAAACTCTTTTTAAAATTTGAAGAAGTTCTGCTAAAAACAAAAAAGGTTTGCGGAAGGTCAGTATTGCAGATTCATAATTTGTAAAGTCGTTTTCTTTCATGACTATTTAAATATCTATCTGTTTTACTAAACTCATCACTGTTTGCTTGTGGTAAAATTTCACCTGACCCTTCTGTCTAATAATTTTATATGTAGGTACAGTCGGACTTAATTTTGGTACTCGTTCTGGGCAAGGATGGACAAAACTTCTTTTTCTTGTTAAAAACAAAGTCCGTGGGGTGATGGGATCTGCTGTGCATTTACATTCAAAGTGTTCTCTACTCTCTTTGCAGCTTTCTTAACAAAGGTGAAGACACTCTGAACATACCTCAACTCCATATTGAAAGTGTCTTTTGCTTAGCTGACTTCTAATAGTTTTGAAATATTTTTAAATGAGATCTAGTATTTAATACTGTATTATGCTACAAATACTTTACCTTTTCCTTCTCTTGGAAAGTCTTTCAATTTCTATTTATAATTTGAATTTTCATAGTTAGTAGGGTCAGAAGGGACCTGAGCAGATC